TCTGGGTAACAGTTCAACAGTCTCCATGATAAAGCTCAGCCTGTGTCTTGTTTTCATTTTTTTTTTTCCTCCAGTTTAGAGCGGCACAGAGCCAACATTAGCCACTGTTAAACAGGCATGGCTCCTGATCCGCAGGCCGGTGGTTATTTCCAGCATTCAGGCCACACAGCTGTGAGGGGAAGGGGGACAGTCTGTCTCTATTGGTGGAGGGAGGCAAAGTTTAACTCAACTTAGCAACAGCAGAGCCGAGGTCAGTGAGGACAACACAGACGACAGTAACAGAGGCATGAGACAGAAGGCTGCCTCTGTCTGTGTCTGGACATCATTTCTCTCTCATTGACTATTAATATTGTGACTTCTATAGCCGGTTCAAACATGACAGTCTTTTGGGTCTGCTTTTATATGACGCTCAGCTGATTTTACTTACTTATACCTTATTTTTCCTGTAATATATTTTTGGTATATTTATACAAAATGGGTGAAAGCTGTTGCATCCCCAAACGGCAGTAAAATGTTAGTCAGCATCACAACTGTAACTTGTTACAGTCAGTAAATAACAGTCAGCTTAATCATTAAAATGGAGTGTAAAGAAATTATTAAAACGTGTGATTTCCCGTTACAATAGTACTCCGCTGATTTGGCTCTGCACTCATAATGTTGTCAGATTTGCAGCTGACAGTTTTAAAGGTTTCGTGTGCAATCTAATTCCACACTCAGATGTTGCTATAGAAAAACCAGAAGAAAAAACACAGACCAAAACAAACAGGCACATCAGCCACACCTCCTCCCCAACCAGAAAGACGGTGAACATGAAAGCCAAGGAAAAATAATCCAGCCACAACCATTAGCCCACACTAGCACTGTAGAATACATCAAATGGCCAAAACAAGCTGTTGTCAACTTAACTACATCCTCTTCTCTTCACCTGTCTGTCCTTCTGTTTGCTCATGTCTGATCAGCTCCATGTGTATCTGTGTTCATGGTCAGAAACCCACGTGTGGAAACAGA